TACACTCCATTGGTTTTGGATGCACTGATGACTAAAAGGGTCAAAACGATTTGCATGGATACTGGAAATGAGAACATGTAAATACCTTCTACTATAAGAAGTCAATGCGCATCTCTCAGTACTTTAGAGGTGGGCTTTTTGGTTCCTTTTGTACTGCCTAATGGATGTATTGTTTCTCTAGACTTGCAAGCCCTACGCCATAGAGCCAGTAAAAGACATATCTTTTCACAAGTGGTATCTAGATGTAGCCCCCTCCTCTAGCTAGGCTGCTAAATTGTTTTTGTCTATTCAGGGTTTCCTAAGCTAGGTGTTTGATTTATCCTACCTGTTTCTAGAAAAATCTTCCAGAAAATAGGGCAAGGAGATGCAGATAAATAGTATGATATATTTAAAATGCCCTAGCTAATCCTTGGGACAAGGCATGCACAATGCGGCTGAGGAGGTGATCATTATTTGGGAAGCTCTGGTGTTGTTCCTTCTCAGAGGAGGGTTCCAGGTCTCTAGCGGACTAATGCCCCTAGATACAGCTGAAGTGAGCTAATAAGTTGCAGTCTGGGCCTCAGCAGAGGAGAGGAGATTGCTGCTGGATTTTTGCTGGAGGGCACTATCCTGAAGTCCTGGTCTGGGGAAGGAACTTTTATCTCATTCACTGAGGATCTACCTGTGTTTGCTGGGTGGCAGACAGCTCATGGGACAGTGTGAGTAAAGATCTTGCTGTAGACTTTTGGGTGTGCATGTGCTCTAAGGGAACTAAGTGCCAGAGGTTGTTAAATGATCTGCTACTGTAAGATTGTTCCCTGTCACCTCCAGGAAGCTGCTGCTAGAAGAATAGAGAGAGATTTGTTCTCTCATATTGCTGTTGACAGTTTTGGAGTATCCTATGACCTAAACCCCTCCTCTGTTAAAGTTTCTTCAAGCACTATATCTTAAAAAGACACCTCCTAGACTAGTGTTATTGGAGTCGGTGTTAATGGACTGGTGCTTGTGGTGGTGGTTGATCAGCCTCGGTACTTTTTAGGGATAAACCAGTTAATACCAGCGGCCCCTATGGTGGAAGAACTACATATAAAACACAAAATAAAGCAAGAGAAGGAGTTGCTGCCCTGCCTAAACTATGAATCACTCATGTCATAGTTTACAAATGGCTATGGAATCACCATATGTGGCAGTTCTGGTGTTTGGTGAGTGACCTAGTAACACACACTCCTCCACACCTAGAAGTACCAAATATTTTCTCCTGGTGACTAAGCTGAGATCAGCTGGGAGCCAACAATAGGCACATATCCATTTCTTGACAGTAGACCTGTTGACTTGCCCTCTTGTAGGCACAGCACTTTATGTTTGTTTTCCATAAAGACTTTATTGAAATTTCAGAAAGTAAAGAGCATTGTATAATCTTCTCTAATACAAGCACTGTACTGAAATTTTCTTTGTCTTTTAGACATGTACTAGGAAGCTAAACCAAAAGACATCTGTGTGCACATCTCCAAGGTGGTGTTTTTGTCAAAGTGACACAAAGTACAAAGTTTATATGCTAAGTGCTGTAACCCATGCCAAGCAATCAGAGTAAACTATTTAATGATATGATTGCAATTAACTGAATTATTGTTGCTTTGTTCAGAGCATTTTCAACATTCATTACACTTTCCAGTACAATAAAACAAAATAAAAGTACAGACAAAGCTTAATTTTCTAGTTTTTTGGGCAGCGTGGAGAAGGATTGGAACCTTTGTCAGATTTTTACTACTGTACATGCCGCCATTGGGGAGATCTCCACCTATTTGCTGTCCCAGTAACACTGCAGGACACAAAAATAAAAGCCTGATAGGGTATCTAATGCTTTTATTTATACAGTATATGTGAAATTAAACAAAGTGTTTTGGCTGCAGTTGTGCTTTGAATCTAAGAATAGTATATGTTGCCAGCACACCTCAATGTTCATGCAACGAAGACCTCTTTAATTGATATAAGTTCTGTATGTTGCTTTCATCAGGGAAAAATGGCATGAAGCATATATACTGTATATATATATATATATATATATATATATATATATATATATATACAGTGCTGTAAAAAAGTATTTGCCCCCATCCTTGTTTTCTTCTTTTTGTTTTTTTGTTGTTTGCATGTTTGTCATATTTGTCACACTTAAATGATTCAGATCATCAAACAATTTTTAATATTACACAAAGATAACCTGAGTAAATACAAAATGAAGTTTTCAATGATGATTTCATTTATCAGGGGAAAAAAAAACATCCAGACCTGCCTGGCCCTATGTGAAAAAGTAATTTCCCCCTAAACCTAATAACTGGTTGTGCCACCCTTGGCAGCAACAGCTGCAATCAAGCATTCGCAATAACTGGCAATGAATCTTTCACATCGCTGAGGAGGAATTTTGGCCCACTCTTCTTTGCAGAATTGTTTTAATTCAGCCACATCGGAGAGTTTTTTGAGCATGAACGGCCTTTTTAAGGTCATGCCACAGCATCTCAGTCGGATTTAGAGGCTTGACTAGACCACTCCAAAACCTTAATTTTGTTTTTTTTTCTTTGAGCCATTTGCTGATGTGCTTTGGACCATTGTCCTTCTACATAACCCAACTGTGCTTAATCTTGAGGTCATGAACAGATGGCCGAACATTGTCCTTCAGGATTTTCTAGTAGAGAACAGAATTCATGGTACCATCAATTATGTCAAGTAGTCCAGGTTCTGAAGCTGCAAAGAAACCCCAGATCGTTACACTACCACCACCTTTTTTGACTTTTGGCATGATGTTCTTTTTATGAAATGCTGTTGTCTCATCAGTCCACAGAATATTTTCCCAAAAGTCTTGGGGATAATCAAGATGTTTTTTGGCAAATGTGAGCCTTTGTGTTCTTTTTGGCCAGCACTGGCTTTCACCTTGGAACTCTCCCATGGAACCATTTTTGCCCAGTCTGTTTCTTATTGTTGAATCATGAACACTGATCTTAACTGAGGCAAATGAGGCCTGCAGTTCTTTAGATGTTGTTGCAGGTTCTTTTATGACCTCCTGGATGAGTCGTTTTGTAGGCCGGCCACTCCTGGGAAGGTTCACCACTGTTCCAAGTTTTCTCCATTTGTGGAAAATGGCTCTCACCATGGTTCGCTGGAGTCCCAAAGCCTTAGAAAAGGCCTTGTAACTCTTTCCAGAATAATACGTGTCAATTACTTTGTTTCTCATCTGTTATTGAATTTCTTTAGATCGCGGCATGATGTGTTGCTTTTTGAGATTTTTTTAGCATACTTCACTTTGTCAAACAGCTACTATTTAGGTGGTTTCTTGATTCAACAGGTCTGGCAGTCATCAGGCCTGTGTGTGGCAAGTAAAATTTAACCTAGCTTTCCAAAAAATTTGGCTAATCACAGTTCAGTCATGATTTATCAAAGGGGGGGGGGGGAATTACTTTTTCACATAAGGCCTGCAAGGTTTGGAAAGCTTTGTCCCCCTAATAAATTAAATGATCATTTAAAAACTGCATTTTGTATTTACTCAGGTTATCATTGCATAATATTAAAATTTGTTTGATGATCTGAATATTTTAAGTGTGACAAATATGCAAAAAAAAAATAATTAAGAAGGGGCAAATACTTTTTCACAGTACTGTATATAAAAAGAGGCAACAACAATGAGAATGCAAAAATTACCACCACCATCACCACATCACTGTAAAGTCATATTCCTGCCAAATTTGCACATGTATAAACAGTAAGAATAAAAGGTATGTGTTGATGAACATGTCCATGTAAATAACATGAATTTGTGATGCACTGAACATTTACTTTGCAAGGTTTGTAGCTCTGTCCCTGTTCCAGAACTTTGCCATATAGAATGGGAATAGGCATGTGTAATATTCTAAAGAGCCAGCAGTCAGTGGTCATTGTAATGATAATGCAAGTGGTGTGCCTAAGCAACTATGGAATCTTGAAAAATTGTGGTCCCATGGTATCTGTTGCCAAGTGATTAAAGGAGTGGCTCGGTAACTGGGGATGTGGCTTACAGGCCAAAAAGACTACAGCAATCATCTGGCTTCCATTTCTAAGTGCAAGTCACTCACTGGTCTGGCGCCGAATTCTAGAACATAACCTCAGCACAAACACAGTGGTACTTTTCACCTGGCAATATTCCTGATGGATAAATACACTGCAGCTGTGCATAAGAAAAAACTGCTCAAGCTCTTGCCCACTGAAAGTGGTTCACAATGGCTCTGGCATGTGCAATTGAATAACATGTGAAAACATTGCCATCAAAATGGAACCCCAGGGTCGCCAGACAATACAAAATAAGTATCTACGCATATGGGCTAATTCTGCAAAAGAAACATAACAAAGTAAAATAAAGCATTAAGGACCAACAAGCTACATGGAGCCCAACACTATGAACACAATTACAAAGTATATTAATTAAAAAAAACCTAAAGAACTGGAAATGCCCAAATATACATGTAACAGTACAGAGTAGATCATTGTGTTTTTAGAACTAGTTCTGTATTCCCATTTTGAAAATTACTTAGTCTCCCAATACTCATGCTGTATTATACCATAGAATATGGGTAATTGCCAAACATATATATATATTTGCTTAAGGATAGGAGCAACAAAAATTGGCTCTCTAGCTATCAGCAGGCATTCAAAAGGTTCAATCATTCTCTATCCTCATTGCAACTGGATTTTGACTTTAAATAAATACCTTCCCCAAAGTTTGCAAACTTTATGGTGAGATATAAATAGAATGCCCATATGCAGTGTTGAAAGCTCTAATAACCAGCATGTTCAAAGTTCTGGTATATTTAGAAGATGCTGGTGGGCAATATCAAGTTGTTCTTCTAGGAGGTCAATTACCCATGCTCCTTCTGCAGAACTGAATACATATATAAGCAGATAATAATGGCCCACAATTCCAAAATCCTCAGATAAAATTAGCTATTGTAATATAATATAAAACTCAGATATTATTAGATTTAACAGCAACTTACCGCCTCCATTCTTTCCACAGAGGTAGGGAAATCTCCAGACATTTCCTAGACCAATTGCATAACCAACACATGACATAAGGAAGTCAAATCTCCCTTTCCAGGTGTCTCTTTCAGGATCTTCATTTCTTTTCTTCTGCACTTTAACAACCAAGGTCTTAGGCTTATCATTTGTGATAGGAGCTTCACTGACTTCCGTGGAAATTTGTCCATCTGCCACCTTAGTTCCATTTGTTGCCATGTCTCTTGGTTTAGAATGGCAGTGCCTGGTACCCAGACGAGAGATTTCAGCACCAGTCCACGTGGACAGCAGCTTCGCGGCTCCCGGTGACTTCACTAGGGTTACAAAGGTGCTTGGAAAGTACTGTGTTGATGACTGCAGATGTATATCCCCAAATTGTTAAGAGATTAAATGATGAGCTGAAAAAACATAAAAAGAGTTATATATTCACATTGTAACAACAAATTCTTTGAGAATGGCTAATCAGCAAGATGAGCTATCTTTACAATACTTAATACTTATACAATATTATTAAAACAAATAGGAATGATGATGGTACCAAAGCTCAATTGATGATAATCTCCTCCCCAATCTCCAGCTCTAGTCCTACAAAAGGTTACACATTTTTCTTCTGTGTTAAGTTTTAACAACTTCTATTAAGCACAACTCCAAAGAGAACAGATCATTTGTATAGTTTACAGTACATTTATTCCTCTGTCCCTGGTGATACAATCTTCAGCTTCTAAATTTAACATCAGGACCAATTTCAACTGATGTATCCTGATGTGTGGTCTCTCCCCTCTGCTATAATGCATGTTGAATCCATGAAAGAGTATGTTTAAAATCTTTAACATGTAAGAAGACCACAGAACAGGAAGCAGCCACATAAGTTATCCCGTAATCTACTTTGTTAGTAACCTAAAGCTTATTTTTACAATAATGGGCAATTCAAGGGTTCTCAAAAATTCCACACTTTGTCCCAGAACTTGATGCTTCTTTTCAAAAATATTTGCTGGATGCTGAGTAAAGGCTGGAGGCTGGAGCCAACAGATTGTTTTTATCTTGCAGTGGGGATACAAGGCTACTGTATATGCCTGGCGTTTCTTTCAGTGTGTGAAGTGGACTTTTTTTTTAAACTACAAACCATAAGGGATCCAAACCCATCAATTAGGAACATTAGAGCTGTGAAGATCACATCTAGTTCCCTAACCACAGGATCATGGAAAACACAATCTTGGCTATGTACCCTTTTCCCACATACCCACTGCACTGCTAAACTTATGTGTAGACAACTGGGGTACTCCAAAACACAAGCAAATCAATTAGAGCTAACCTAAATCACATGCCAAACAATCCAAAATGATTAGTATTTCTGAGCTATGACCCATGGTGAATTTAAACCATTAAAGATATTCATTCATTGAACAAGCACCAACAACCACCAAGGATCCCCCCTCCTGTGGTGCTCTTATCCCTTGCTGAATCACACCTACAAACACTTGCATACAGCGAGGAAATGTTGAAGGTGGAAAATAAATTTGACATCTAGATATCTCACATTGCTAAGATAATTTTCAGTAAAATTGATAGACAACATATTTAATTAAACTCCAACAGTTTTTATCGGCTAGAATAATCACACGCTGTGAAAGAATGTGAGCAATATTTATCAAACAGTTTTTGTAAACGAATGGCTCCTGTTAGAATATTCATTTGATTTAATTTTGATTGCGGTGTGAATAGCAAAAAAAAAAATTACTTCAGAGACAATGTCAAAATGAGCTCTAATAGGACGCTGTGGGGTTGATATACTAAAATTGGAGAGTGCAAAATCTGGTGCAGCTGTTCATGGTAGTCAATCAGCTTCTAACTTCAGCTCGTTCAATTTGGCTTTGCCAAAAAAAAAACTGGAACCTGATTGGTTTCTATGCAGAGCAACCCCTGTGAGTCTAGCTGATGGGCTGAGCCAATGATGTTTTGCATTTTTTATTCTGAGCAAATAAATCACTTTTGGTGATTGTATCATTTACTGTTCCCCTTCATTCCTACAGGAATCAGTCATAGTTCATTCTAACTATAAATCAGCTTTTCTCTTGAATTCTTCAAAATTCCACACACTAACAGTGCTTGTGGTCTGTGTACACCATTCCTTGCAATGTAAGGTCTGCCAACAGCCAGTCACAGTAGTGCTGTGCAGAATTTTGACGAGTTCGTAGGAAAGGTCCAACATGCTTACAAGGAAGATCAGACAGGAGCCTGGTGACGGTTAAGTGTAAACTAGGACCAAGCTGCTGGCGGACAGTGGGGGCAGAGTAGTAAATAACAAGTGCACTTAAAGGGCAGCTATCCTTTCAAGGCTTATTAAACATCAATTTTGGTTGTGTACCTTTGACATGAATCACTGGATGTATTTTTTTGGCTTTCAGAGAGCCCACACTTATGTTTCTAATGGCCAATGTTTCAATTATCCATGCACAACCTAAAATTAATGTTATTTTACATTCTGAGAACCCAAAATAAATCAAGATGCTATCTTTCCAGAATAAACTTTGGGGCCCATATAAATGTTTGCCTTCAGTCTGTAAGTTAAAATGTGACTGTTACTCCTATCATGGGATCAACAAAATCTTACAGACTTAGGTTTTTAGGACCCAGAATTCATATTCACTTTCTGTGTGCTAACTGACAGCTTAAAATATATACAGGAATGCAGACTGACAACTCATGGGGCCCCCGGGCAATAGGGGATCATGGGGCCCCTGTGTCCTTGCCCACACTCAAAAAAGCCTATAAAAAAAAGGTACCAGGGGCATTTCATGGGGCCCCCTACTGACCCCGGGCCCTCGGGCAGTGCCCGAGTGCTTGAATGGTCAGTCTGCCCCTGCATGAATGTATGCATGTGTGACAATCTGTACTTGCATTATCTAATAAAACAGCAGTGCATGATGCCTCCTCTCTACAATCTCTACTTTCTGGTTAAAGAGTATAGGCAGGTCTGATAACCTCTGTGGAGGGCACAGGGAAGTCATACCAACCACAGTGCCACTTAAATTTCTCCAGGAATAGCAAAGTCAGTGAAAAAACAGATCTCATGTCTGTGGTGGGCAGCCATAGAAGGTTACATCATATTTCATAAAACAAGAAATGGAACACAGATTAACTGAAGACACTGAGCGAAGAAAGTTGGATGGAAAGAAGAAGCTAGCAGCAAAGCAGGATGTCCAAAACTTTCATTAGCCAGAATTTTCAAAAGGTTCCAAATGCTGCCCTATCATAAATAGTTTGTCATAAAATGAGTCTTTTTTAACTACCAGAGCCAAACTCTGTTCATATTCCATAATTCGTACTGTGATGAAGTCAAGTCACCTTTATAAAAAGTAATTACAACTCAGTAAAATAAAAACATGCCTGTATTACAAGATCCAAAAGGAAAATGGGACACATTCACTCTCCTGATAGAAAGATTTTATAATATCCATATGGTATTTGGAGTCCACCAAATCATAATTTCATTCTTTGAAATAATATGTTGGTTGTCTGATTGTAAAAGTTTGTCAGATGGAAATACTGATATATTTTAAATAGTTACCAGTAAGTGTGTGTCCACTGAAGTATAATAAAATGCTCTCCAGCTCCTTCAGCACACCTTTCAGACCCTTTGATTGGATGAGATGATTCTGTAACTCCCTCTCCAGTAACCAGAAATAATGGCTGCATTTGCAGCTCTGCAATTCTGCTTTGACATTGAAGCTACTTAAGATACAAAGGCAGGTATGTTTCCGTGAGCCATGTTCTGATACATTAGATTGGACTTACTTAGCAAGTGTATTGGACTCTGCAATAACCAAAGACTAGGCAAACTTTGCTAATTTTCACCTTTAACCCGTATAATTTACTGTTGCGTATTGTCAGTTTTGTAGTATTTTTTGGTAAATATTTCCTGCACCATTTTTTCTTTCATTAAAACTACATTAAAAATCATTACGCCAAATCTCTGAAAGCTCTAATCAGAAACGTAAGAACTTTTTTTCCTCTTTGAAGAAAGCTACTGTGTTGTAAAATGTGTTCCATTCCTGTCGGGACATGACAGTGAGTGATACAGACATTTCCTTTAAAAGATCTGCAACAGCAAATGCTGTCAACAGTGCATGTTTCCATTAAAAACATGTGATGATTACAGTGTGTGTGTGTGTAAATGGATAACTGTACAGTTACCTGTCCCAGTGACAATAACCCTTAGTTTGTTGGTGCTTTGATTGCTGTCCCAGAACTGGAAAACCAATGCATTGGTTGACGCTGATTGTGTAATATGTCACATTCTGGTCGTGGCAATGGGATCTGAGAGTGTAATCATCACCATATCCTGAGCTTGCATGTACATTGCAATGTCCAGACTTCAGCTATCTATAATCAGACCCTGGTGTTGGCATATTGGAGGTCTGCTGATGTTTGTGCAAACTTTGACCATGAGAAAGTCTCTATTTCGTTAGCTGACTTGGAAATCTCCTGCTGGCGCTGTGCTATAATACAACAAAGTCATATGGTCTACCTTTGTGTAAGTATCCATTGTGGCCTACTGGACTGGACATGTTCACATTTATTTTATGTCATGGGGATCGGTTTCAAACAATTACCTATTCTATGTTCATGTAGACACAATATTGGTTCTACAGTTCCTGTGTGAAAACAAGCAAAACTTGAAGATTCACAGACATTCCTGGAAGGGTATACTAGAAACATCTTTACTCTAAACAAAGTTAATATTTTCCTTCCCTGTGGTAGATACTAACCAAAAAAGTGTATAATGGTGGAATTTTGTTTTAGCTACCTCCAGTGGATTCAGTGAAAACTCTTGTTCGTACCACCATTCTAGTACAATTAACATATATGTAAAGCATATCTAAACCTAAAACCGTGCATTTAATATATTACAGCTTATTGCAGGAATGTTGTAATTATATATATATATATATATATATATACACACACAAGATATTGAAACACATACTGTTCATTCTTGGACAGGCCTGTGACAAGACCACTTTACATATCAAAAGAACTCTTTGCCATGTTAAGTTTATGCAACTTGTAGTATTTGGGGAATAGCCCGTTTATCTTCAAAGGGTACATTGTTCACATGTTTAAGGATGATAAAGAATGTGATATGACCATACAAGAAGTAATCTGTTGTCTTCTAAATTATGAGGTCCTCACAGAAACAGTTCATAAAACATAAATCC